GCTAGTCGGTTACCACCACTATAGGATGAGTCTGGAAGTATGACTTGAGCTTTTGAACTGTGTGGATAAGCGTCAGGACATATTTCTCTACCGATGAGTATCAGACTTCAGCTCCCTACAGAGCCCTGCTGACGTAGTACATTGGCTTTTGGACTCTTTCTTCCTCCCTAATAAGTACTGCACTAATTGCCTCCTCTCTCATGGCAAGTAAACGAACAGAGTCTTGCCCTGTTTGGGAGAGGTTAATATCAGCAATTTGGTGACATGTGCCTTCAGTTCATCAAATGCCTTCTGACACTTCATGGTCCACTCGAAATTTAATCCTTTCTTCAGAGCTTGAAAGAAGGGAGACCCCTGAATTGCCAATTTTGACAAGAACCTATCCAAGACTGTCATCTTCCCGACTAGTCGCTACACCTTCTTGATACTCTTTAGAGGTTCCATATCTATAATGGCTCTTACCTTATCAGGGTTGGCTCTTATCCTATTTTTGAATATCATGTATCCTAGGAATTTGCCCGACCTGATCCCGATGGTATACTTCCTAGGGTTCAGGCTCATTCGCGATTTTCAGAGTATATTGAAGATCTCCCCAAGGTCCGAGATGAACTGCTCCTGGGTCCTGCTTTTGATTAATATGTCGTCTACATAGACCTTCATATTGCGGCGTATTTGGTCTTGGAACAGCCTGTTAACCAGCCTCTGGTACATTGCTCTTGCGTTTTTTAGCCTGAAAGGCATGGTGACGTAGCAGTACGTTCCATATTCAATGATGAACAAAGTCTTTTCCTGATCTTTCTCAGCCATAGCTATCTGGTGATATCTCTTGAAAGCATCCAGGAAGCAAAAGACTTCATACCCCTGTAGTCGAATCTACGAGTAAGTCTATTCAGGACAAAGGGTAACAGTTTTTTGGGCAAACTCTGTTCAGGTCGGTGAAGTCTAAATACATTCTTCAGGCCTTATCATCCCCTTTGACCAATACGGGATTGGCCAGCCAGATCGGATAGTAAATCTCTTTCACGAACTTAGCTTCCAACAGTTTGTTCACCTCTTGTTTAACGATTTCAATTCGTTCCGGAGTAAAATTTCTTTTTTTCTATTTTATCGGTCGAATGTTTGGATCCTCGTGTAGTCTATAAACAGCCAATTTGGATGAAATCCCAAGCATATCTTCCATACTCCATGCAAAGATTTTGGCATACTCTATTAATAAGGATTCCAATGTCTTCCTGTTCAGTTCACTTAAGCATAAACTGACTCTTATCACTCAATCTGGATGTTCTTTGCTAATGGGGATCTCCAGCAATTCTTCGTCTGTCCCCAACTTTTCTTTCTTCTTCGCTGGCTCTAAAGGTTCTAAACAAGCTGTTCGGGCCACCAACTTTTCCTTTTTTTTAAGAGTTGCAATGTAGCAGACCCAAGCCACTTCAGGATCTCCTAACACCTCGGCCACTCCCTCTGATGTGAGAAACTTCATGCTCAGGTGCAAGATTGAACAGACAGCTCGGAGTGCGTTCAAAGTAGATCGCCCCAAGATCATATTATACGACGACGGCTCCTTTACCACCACAAAATTTACGGGGACAGTTCGACATCTCGGTGATGTTCCTACCATGACCATGAGAATTATCATTCCCTCAAGCTTGATCGGCGAGCCCGCAAGCCCGATCAAAGGAGTTCAGATTGGAGTGAGCTGCTTATCTTCTAACTGTAGTTCCTTGAATGTCCTATAGTACAGCACATCAATGGCACTTCCATTGTCTATGTATATATTCTTCACCTTATAATTGCAAGTTATCACCTCTATTACAATAGCCTCATGATTATTAGAGGTAAGGGGCATCGCATATTCCGATCCATGTACTATTTTCTCATATATTTTCAACCGCTTACTCGGGTTATCCCTATTGGGAAGAGGACGATTGCTCTGTCGAGCTGCGTGACTGTCCTCTCCAACGGGTCCTCCAGCTATGGTGTCGATTATCCTTGCTCTCCAACGGATCCTCCCACTATGGTGTTGATTGTCCCTGCTAAGTTCTGTACTTCAGGTTCGGGAGTTTGGTCCCTATTGCCTCGAAGCCGGTCTCGCAGGTAGTTCTTGCCCTCCCGTTTATATTCTCTCCTCCTCTGTTCAGCTTGGCTATTACGGATAAACTGCCTCAAGTGTCCCTGCCTTATCAATTCCTCAATATTTTTCTTCAGATTTCGACAATCCTCTGTATCATGCCCCACATCTCTATGATACGCACAATACAAATTTTGGTCCCTTCTATTTTTATTGCTGGATAATTTTCTGAGAGGTCGTGAAAGGCCTTCGGCCTCCATGATGGCGAGGATCTGATCTCTTAGTGTAGTGAGAGGAGTCCACCCCCTATCTCCTTCGAGAGCTCTGTCCCTTGACAACTAGTCGAATATGTTTCTTCGCGACTGGCCGCCTCGTGTATCAATCGGGTCCACATTCTTTTTCCTCCTCTCGTCTCTTTGCTTCTCCTGTTCACTCTTTAGGCGGTTAGCCTCTTCAATATTAGCTCTCTCGTGAGCTTGATCTAGCATTTTCCGAACAGTCTTAGGAGGCTTTTCCACGAACTCTGTATACAACTTCTGTACACGTAATTCGTTAATGAAGGTGGCCATAACTACCTTGTCATCCCGGTCCCGAACCTGAAGGACTCGTTGTTGAACTGTACCATGTACTCCCACAACGACTCTTCAGGTTTTTGATGAACTGCCATCAAATGAGCAGTGTTCTTGGAAAATACCCAGGAGGAGATGAATTGAGTTGCGAACAAACGGGCAATCTGACCAAAAGATCGTATCGATCTAGGGGGCAACCCTTGAAACCACTGGCGCGCCTTTTCTTCCAGGAACATTGGGAAAGTTTTGCACCAAGCTGCATCCAACTATCTGTAGGTGCCTGTGAGTCAAGAAGGCAAACAGGTGATCCTCCGGTTCCGTGGTTGCATCATAAGGTCTCATACTTGGTATCTTGAACTTAGTGGGCAAGGGGTAATTTTCGATGTCAGGTATAAAAGGAGAGAAAGAGTACCGGTCCTCCTCCGAATCTAGCAATAGATCCAGTTCATCCCGTATAGGATACTTTTCACGCTTCGGAGAGTATTCCCTCCGAGGGACCCCCTGAAAAGACCCGAAGTGGTCTGTTCGGAAGTTCTTACGAGAAGATCCAAGGGTTTCCATCTGGTCATGAGAAGGTTCTCTTCGTACTCGTTTCCGTCGGGGGGCAGGGACTCCCTGTCCCAGACTCCGACAACTCTTCTTCACCCTTCTTCCCGGTTTTAGTTTCCTGATCATGGCGGTCTTCAACCTTATCCCTCAGATAGTTCACGATCGCTTCGAAGGTGGGCAAATTCTCCGCCACTATTTCCACCAACTGTTCATTTGGGATCCGAGAGAGCTCCGTCCCCTCCTCACCTTGAGTTGGCCCATGGTGAGGATTTTGTGGACCACTTTGCTCGTTTCCCCTAGACTTCTCGGTGTTCTTCTGAGATTGGATTTTTGGCATGGTTTGCAAAGAAAAACAAGCGGTTCCCACAAACGGCGCCAGTTGATGTGTATGCCGAGATTACGATCGGAACATAGCACATATGTGTGTTTCTGAATTGACCTGCAACAAGCCGAGCAGCGGGACTAGCTCCCCGTTGTGACTCCAAAGATCAAGTCAGTTGAGAAGTAAGAGAGAATAGAGAAAGTAATTGTATGGTGTAGTGTTGTGTGTACTTTGTTAGGTTCCCTCCATTCCTTATTTATAGAGCTGCTAGGGATAGCCTTTATGGAGTCCAAAGTTATCCTTCTACCCACAGTAGTTATCCCATTAGAATATGAGTTCTACTGGGTCACTAGAAGCGGAGTCCCTCTTGGACTCTAACCCTGGCCTTATCCCGAAGAGTGGGGAGCTCCGCATCTGTTTGGCCAATGATCGAGTAGGCTCGTATATTGTACCTAGCTGGCCTGGAAGAATTGACACGTGTCAATGGTCAGTTGGCTCCTCTACACCAAGCATTGACAAAATAGAAAACTTTTTTTTTTCAAGGAACAAAATAGAAAACTACTGCCCAAAGGACCAAAACTACAATAATGTTTCCACTCTTCCGTAACGCTCCAGTAAAGAATAACCTGGGTGGCTGGTGGTTTACTCGTTTGCTGTTTGCACGACTTCGCTCCAACTACTCTCCGCGTGAGCAAAGGCCTGCACTTTCTTCACCCTCTTTTCCTATCCCGTTGTGCCAGCCTGCCTGCTCTTTTTTGGAATAAAAATCAACCCTCAGATCAGCACTTCCTCCTTCAATCTCAATCTTCCACCTTCATTTTACTGTACTCCGGTCGAAATCCGTTCTGGGTTTTGGCATTTTCATCCTTTCTGGTATATTCACGGATCTGTTCTTTCCCCATTCACTTCTTCACTCGTGACTTCAATATTCATCAAAATAAAGGTTTTTTTGTGGGGAAAAGTCAACTCCTTTTTAGTTGGCATTCTGATGATTGCAGGCGCAAGTTCTCAATGTGCACTGGTGAATTCAGTTAGATCACCAACTACTATACGAGTTCTTGCTGGTAAGAATTTATTTTGTGGGTTGACCCAAGGAAACATTTTTATTCGGGGAATTTAGACTCTAATATAGGTTAGTGCTGTTGGTACGAAATTTTTTTGTGGGTTGATCCCGGGAACCCTTTTAGTTTGCATATTTTGGCCGTTTAACTTAGATTACTTTGTGGGTTGATACCGGGAGCATTTTGGTTTGGAAATTTTAGCTCTAATATAGGTTAGAGCTGTTGTTGTTGGGAAATTAATTATGTGGAATTTTTTGTTATAATAGAGTTTAAAGCTGTTGCTGGTGGGAAACTATTTTGTGGGTTAATTTAGGCTAGAGCTGTTGCTGTTGGGAACTTATTTTCTGGGTCATTCAAAAGTATTGTTTTAGTTTGGAAATTTACCCTTTTTATTATTCTTTTTGGGAATTTTAGCTGCAATATTGGGAAAGATGATTGGAAGGAAAAATATGGGGCGAGTTTCGCCACTACTTTTAGTACTATTGGCATTGGGATTTGGTTTTGCAACATATAACTTGGTGACAATGGTAATGCACAATAGAGGGCTTAGTTCAGGGAAATTTTGGGTAACAAATGAGGCTTCAGAATGGTATGATCCCGTGATTAATATGCCTGATGAGGTGAAGGGGTTAGGAAGTTCGAATGTGAAGTTTCATGTTGCTTTAACTGCAACTGATGCGCCTTACAGTAAATGGCAATGTCGTATTATGTATTATTGGTATAAGAAGATGAAGGATATGCCTGGATCCGATATGGGAGGTTTTACTCGGGTTTTGCATTCAGGCATGCCTGATAATTTGATGGAGGAGATTCCTACTTTTCTTGTTGATCCTCTTCCGGAAGGGCTTGATCGGGTGAGAAATGTTTTTTTATTTAATGTAGTTCTTCTTTTTCCTATTAAATGTGGAAACTTGATCACCGGATTGTGGGATGCTGAATATGTTGTGTTGTTCATTGCTTGGTTGTTGCATCTTTGGTGACTGCATTATTCTTTTTGTCTTTTAAAAGATAGAATATGCTCGTTGTGAAGTGCTAAAAATAATCTCATCTGAGATTTGAGTTTCATAAGTAATGGTTGTTTTCTACTAAATGAAGAGACGATACTGCATTTATAAGATACTGTAATTTAAGAAGAATGATACTCAATTTAGTTTCTGGATAACCATTGTAAACCAATGATGTCAAAATATTTAACTGCCAATCTATGCATAGATAAGTAAGTCAAGTGCCACGGCTACATTGATTGATTGTTTCATCTGTTGCCCGCTTTTTCTATTTTTTCTTTTTTTATTTATTGTCAAAGATAAGAAACTTTTGGCTTATGAATGCATATATGTATCTCTGCATGTATATGGTCATCAACAGAACCAGAACCCTTTGGTTTGGAGGGAGCAGTGTCTCTGTGCCTCAGACACTGCATTATGGTTCGCACGTGATTAAAATTTATATTGTGAATGCATTTGCATTTTTAACAGTCTATGAGTAAAAGAATTTTGAACTCAACATTCAGGACAAAAACTATGATAATTTCTCTGTAGTTATAACTAGTAGATAATTTCCTAAATATCCTTGTCTTTTTTATGTTAAATCAGGGTTACATTGTGTTGAATAGACCATGGGCTTTCGTGCAATGGCTAGAGAAAGCAATTATTGAAGAAGAGTAAGCTGCTATACTAGATCATTCAGAGCCTTGTGTGCTTGTTATATTCTGTTCTGAGTCCTAGCCCATGCTTGTCTGGTGCAGATATATTCTAATGGCAGAACCTGATCACATATTTGCAAATCCTTTGCCAAATTTGGCCCATGGTGGCCATCCTGCTGCATTCCCTTTCTTCTACATCAAACCAGCAGATAATGAGAAAATCATTAGGAAGTATTATCCACAGGAAAAGGGTCCTGTGACTAATGTTGATCCGATTGGAAATTCTCCTGTGATAATTAATAAGGTTTGATCTGTCTTTACACTGTATATTATGAAGATTCAATTTTCTGCTGAAAATGATGTGCTAGCAACTTATGCATTTACGTGCTCAGGAACTCCTAGATAGACTACGTATATCTTGGATGTTTCAATGCAACCACTTTCTTGGTTTCGCTACTCTATTCATAAAAGAACCTGACACATCATGGTTTCAAAAAAGATGGATGCTTGACAACCCATTAAGCTTTTTAAGTCGATCAATTTTGGTGACTAGAAGTGTTAAGAGTATGTGATAACGCATACAAGCAAGCACTGAGCCTTATGTGGGAGTTAAATACAGCTGGAGTAGAGTTAAAAATTTAAGTTTAGTTAAAGTTTTGGAAGATGAATCTACTATGCTAATAACCCTTCTTTCTTTTGCTTGACCAATTTGCTAATCCTTTGGGATTTTGGCTCTACACTGGGTTTTTTTATCATAGTAATTCTGGCAGACATTTTTTGACACCTCATGGTAGACTCCTTTTTGTTTTTCTCATCACACTATGTGACCATTTTTGGTCAACAAACTCAAACTGTGATCTTGTTTTTCTTTTCTTGGGAGACATCAACTGAATTCCATTTTTGTTTTACGAGATTTTAAGACTCTTTATCTCATTTTTTCTTAACTTACTTTAGTATTAATGTGTAGCATGAATTTATTACACCTCATGGCAGATATATCTCTTTCGCCTCACTGCGGTTTTTTTATTCTCTTTTGCCCTGTCATCACACTAAATACATAAGATGGACTCAGACTTCAATCTAGTGTTTATTTTCTTAAATTTTTGTACAGTTCAATTCTCGGTTATATCTTTTCTTTTATGGGATCTGATGACTCTTTTTCTTAATTTTGTATTAAGTATGGTATAAATTTATTGCCCCTCATTAATTGTAGTCAGTGGAGATGTCTTGAATCCTTTTCTTCCCCCATTTTGTTGGCATTAATTGTGGTACTTAATAAAATGATGATCATTTGACTTTTCATAGGTGTAAAAATTTTTGATAAGATAATGTTTAGATAGAGATGTTGTGTTTACATTTTACAGAAATTTTCTTGTCTAGTCAAAAAATTCATTTTTAATTTGATCTGGGTGGATTTCAGTGGAAGTGGGTTGATTAGTGGCTCTCAATTTTTTTTCCTAGTTTTTGGGATGGGAGGTGCTTAGCATGTTGACTTTATCTGTGATGAAAATGTTTGTGCTAGTGACAAAATTGTAAGTTTGTGATAGCATTAACTGCACATATGCTAATTATTACTTGTTATATTGAGAAGATTCAGACAAAGTGAAGCATTTTTTTTTACCACATTTAGTTACGGTATCCTAAGTGTTTTGAGACTAAATTCAGACCGGATTTCTTTATGACATGTTTTGAGATTAAATTCAGACCAGATTTCTTTATGACATGCCCCCATGGTTTATATTGCAATACGAGTGGTGTCTTGCATCCTCTTGGTTTCTACCACTGACTCTGTAGTAAGAAAAAGCTAACATGCCATAGCTTGATATATTGATCTTGTGGAAGCAACGGATGAAATAATGTATCATCATATCTAATTTCATACTATGTTTTTGAGCTGAAAAGCTTATATTGCCTCGTTTGGATAGGCTTTTTCCAAGCCTTAACTAATATCTTGTGACAGTTACTTCTGGAGAAAATTGCTCCTACTTGGATGAATATGTCTTTGCGGATGAAAGATGACCCAGAGACTGATAAAGCTTTTGGCTGGGTTTTAGAAATGTAAGTTGTGCCTAGGGAGTTGTAGAATTTGTTATACGCAATTGCTGAGTGGTTATTAATTATCTGGTTGCTAGTATGGCTTTTAAAATGTTTGCCTTTATTTTCTTTAGGTATGCCTATGCAGTAGCGTCTGCTTTACATGATGTGCGACACATTCTGCGTAAAGACTTTATGTTGCAGGTCCAAAAACCTTTTAGAGATGCTATACTATCTATTTCTCCTTACTTGTCTTAACATGTGACTAAAACACTCACAGCCTCCATGGGATTTGGAAGTTGGCAAGAAGTTCATAATACATTATACATATGGATGTGATTATAACATGAAGGTAAATTGCAGTCTGTTTGTGCAGTACCTCGTTATTCTTGAAGTTGTATCAGCTTGAAAGTCATAGTCTCTAGAGTTCATCGTGCTTCTCTCTCCATTTGTGTTACCCAAAGAATCTAAATTTGTATGATTTACTGACTTGTTGTTTGTCGTAAAACAGGGAGAACTGACATATGGAAAGATTGGGGAATGGAGATTTGACAAGAGGTCTTATCTTCGTGGTCCACCACCTAGAAATCTTCCTTTACCCCCACCTGGGGTTCCTGATAGTGTGGTATGTACAACTTCTGACACCAGTTTATTGTAGGCCAACAATGATTTTAAGTAGCTCCTCTGAAATCAATAGGAATTTAATTATGTGTCCTTTTTGGTCTCTATTCAACATATGCTGTGATGAAGAAAGCGGAAGGGCACCTTTTTATTGCTGCTTTGCTACGTATAAGGTTACTTAAAAAGTTATGAACCCATATGAGTTCCTTAAATTGCTCTCAATGTCATTATCTCTGTAAATGTGCTCCTTCTATTCCTCCATTTCTTCAGATATTCTCTTACTCTTTTCCTCTCTTTCATTCTGAACTCTTCATGCTCCTTGTAAACTGAATGGAGATGTAGCCAAAGATTGAGTCAATTGATCTGCCAAACTTGAGGTTCATGAAACCCATCCGGAAATCAGACTGAATGATTAGACTTCAATATGCAGCTAAAATTTCTTGAATTCCTGTACATGCTGGTTAAGAGAGTAAATATTGATTCCACTATTGAAGCTTATATTATACCTACTTGGATATCAAATTAGGTGAAATTACAAGAAGATGCCTAGGGGCCCCTTCATAGAACTTATAAGTACCTCTCCAACAAAAGCACAGAATAAAAACACAAAGACCAATTTTTTATGCTCTCTCTCTCTCTCTCTCACGTGTGTACATGTTTGTGTACACTTAGGTATCGAGCGGCAAAATAAATTAAAAAATACAAGTATTTTTGCTGCAAAGTTAGATGCTCTCCATAGCCATTCAAGAGTTCATGCACTGATGAGCAAATTGATTAATTTGCACCTCATCATTTTTTTGTATTTCTACAGGTAAGACTTGTGAAAATGGTGAATGAAGCAACTGACAATATTCCAGGATGGGATGTGGAGTAGATATTTGACAGACTGTTGTAGAAGGCTTAAACAGTCTCTTGTATACAGTCAAGATCCACACGAAGTAGAGTGCCACACTGTCGGCTGTCCTCAAGACTCCTACTGAGGACAAACAAGTAGAGGTGAACAGGAAAGAATACACTATAAGGAGAAAAATGTAACGATGTCTCATTTAAGATCCTTTTATAATTCTTCTTCAACTTTTTTGGACTGGATTTTAATTCCAAGGCCAGGAAACCACATTTTCTAGTAAAAATGTTGTGATTTGTCCTTTACTAATTTGAAAGCCCCGGATCCTCCATGCTACCACAGGAACTAGGAGTAGATTTGATTCTTCTGAAGAAGGAATTATGCTGGGCCAGTGTGTTTGAGATTTTCTTGAACATGGCATGTAAGATAAAGCTTGAAACTTATAATTGGACAGATGAAAGAATTGCAGGAACTGAGGACTAGATTGTGCTTTCCCGCGGGCCGGGGGGGGGGGCATGCAAGAAGGAAGTTTGAGCTTGATGGAAATGGCTAAAATTTCGTCTGCTTTAGATGTGTTTGGACAGCCAATTATTTGGCCAAATATATTTGCTGACATCACCATTACAATTTTCAATACACCTTTTTATCTTCTCAATTACTTTTTTATCTCACATACATCATATCACAAAAAGTGCTACAGTAAAAATATTTCAAATAACTTACAATCCAAACACACCAAAATCAAATAAAAAGTTATTTTATGTCTCAATCCTTACATCTCTTACTACTGGCGGAGTAACAGCCAGTTTTGTTATGTTGGGTGATATCATTATTGCCGAATCCAACGCTTATATTGCATTTGCAGGTAAAAGAGTAATTGAACAAACATTGAATACAACAGTACCTGTTATGTTGGGTGATATCATTATTGCCGAATCCAACGCCTATATTGCATTTGCAGGTAAAAGAGTAATTGAACAAACATTGAATACAACAGTACCTGAAGGTTCACAAGCCGCTGAATATTTATTCCAGAAGGGTTTATTCGATCTAATCGTATCGCGTAATCTTTTAAAAAGCGTTCTTAGTGAGTTATTTCAATTCCATGCTTTTGGCATACATAAAATAAAGCGTGAAAGTTGTAATTGGACAGATGAATGTTAGAAAATTGCAGCTAACCTCAGAAAATTTTAGAATGAGGCATAATAAAACATAGCACGCATAAATATAAATTTGATTATTGGAAAGAGAGTAAAGTTTATACAATTGGAAACACTGAAAACAAAAAAAAAAAAAAGTAAAGGGTAAAAAATGCCTTAATGGTAGATAACTTTTTACTCTCCTCAAACTAATAGTATTACTATTAATTTGATTAAAGCAAGTCAAATCCCATTTAACTGAATGACAGAACAAAAGGTCCATCAAGCATAAAAGCTTCTCTTGTACTCGAGGAAGGTGAAACTGAGGCTTAATAGTAGTGATCATTTCATTGATGATGGTTTTTTTTTTTCTTTTTTTTTTGGGGATTTTGCAGTATAATATTTGCTCTAAGCTATAAAGATGCAGTTGTAACAAACCCAAATTTGATTTGGTCATGATGACTTTTGTATATAATTCAGTGGCCCAAATTGTAATAGCCAGAAATTATTAATCAGAGCAACTCTAATTACTTTTTTTGACATATTGTGAATACTTTTAGCACATACACAGAACTTGGTATATAAATATTGCTGTATTTACATTATAACCAGCCAATAATTCTATGCTTGATTAATGGTGGTTTTGACTTGAAGGCTTGGATTTTCTTGTTGTAAGAGATGGCCTCATTTTCACAATTTGGTCCTCGTGAACGCCCATTCTTTTGGCAGAAAATCCAGCCTCAAAGAAGCTCTTTACTGCATCTTTCATGTATTGTTTCCCTTCCTTAACAGTCATTTCTTTCCCAATCTGTTGTGGGTAAGTTGCCAAAATGTCTTCTCCTTTGAGGACTGCGGCAAGTTGCACTAGCTCTTGCTGAAATTCAGTAAGCTTGGCATCTTCTTTCGCCTCCCCTTGCCTTATCCTTACCGGAGTTGGAAGTTGTTCTGCACAAAAGCCTCCACGATTTAGTGGGTTTTTTTCTTTTTTGAGAAATATTACTGGAGCACTTTCTTGATAAAAGGTGCATGGGATTGGGCAAGTATGGTTGGTTTTGATATGTGGGATATGGGTTCGATTACTGTTTAGTGTATGCTTTACAGATACAGTTGTTTTTATATATTAAGTTAGTATTCACGAATAAAGTCCATGAGTAGCAACAAAATTATATAAATATACACCATAGTAAAAAGTACAACAACCCAATCCAACAAATCTATGAAAATCCCAATCGTTGGCCCTTCATCAGTGATCTGATAATCGAATCGGACCAACTGGTTTGATCGGTTGAACTGCGAACCAATCATGACTCCAGTCCGATTCTATATTTAACTCAAGAAGTCAAATAAATCGGCCAAACCTAATCAAAATTGGTAAAAAAAGGCCTTTGAACTGATCTTCATTAAATATTTCTTTTATATTTTTATATATTAATTTAATCTAAGTAATTTAATATTAAAATAATTATAAAATAATTGAACCGAAGTTAAATTAGTCGAACCAACTGAATCGTAAACTGAAAGCTCATTCGATTCAGTTGCCGGTCTAAACTTCAAAACATTGCCCTTAATTAATGGTGCAGTAGGACTCCATACGACCCAGAAAGGTGTATGTATATACCATTTTGTTTGGAACATATTTTATGAATTCATTTATCTGAATGGAATCAAGTATACATCAAAAAGATAAAATAACTCAAAGGAATCAAGCAATTATTCGCTGAAAGTTTAAAAATTGAGGCAACTAACCTGGGCAATCAGTTCTAGGTTCTTTCCTGGTTTGGAGAATGGATTCAAAGGTGCCAGCCCACTCATCCCTCTTAGTTAGAAAAGATGGCAGGTTGAATGTCTTCTTGACTGTTGCTGAAATGGAAGAGTGCTCATATTCTGATGTCTTATATGGTGAACCTTTGGGACTATGGACGACTGCATCATCACAAATATCCCAATCAACATCTCCTGTGTAAACAAAATCATTTGTCTACTCCTAGTGGATTACCCACCTTTAGTAGTTTTTTTTTTTCTTTTGAAATTCGTATATCAAATTTTATACTTTCTGATTTAGTTGTGAGTTTCCTTTTTTTTAATTTTTTGTTTTTAGTCGTGAGTTTTTTTGGCTACAATGCATATTTGGTCATATGCATTGGATAATCCTTTATTTATTCTAGATTTGGTAAAATGCATCAAGATAAGCATTTTCTTATCACAATGAATGAAAACAATTTGAATAAGATGATGAATAATTGACAAGTACCATCAGAGTATTTGTACACATGATGTATACATGCAATGGCAAGAAAAAAACTCTTACCACTTTCTTTTTGATGAAAAATTAATATTTTATACTTCAGATCCTTTCTGTGATAATTGATTTTAAAAAAATGTCAAACTGTCGTGCTATGAAGGTTTTATTGTTCACCACAATATTAAAATCCTCATTAATGAGGGCATATTGACATTGTTCTGCAATAACGTTTAGGTGTCTAATAAGAACTAAGAACTTGTTTTTTTTAAAAAAAAAAAAAATCCGAACTCATTAATTTGCTGCAAAAATTCAAATGCTATATTCAACATTGACAACTAGAGTATTTCCATCTATCTTGAAAAATCTATGTCTAATAACAAAGTCAGTGAGATGTCCCAAACCAAGCTTAATTTTTATATAATCCATAAATAATTTTCTCTCCGTTAATCTATTCACTAAATTGAAGTATAATACAAATTTTTATTTTATTTTTGTGAGTTAAACATAAAGAAAATCTTTAAAAATATAAATCAACATATCTTTTTCTTTCCCCCAATGATTTTTTTTCATTTTTCACTTTTAAAATGATAACTTTGCGTTCCTTACAAAATCAAGTCAGTAAAATTTGATCCAAACCTAAGTTTTCAACCACTTCAACCACTTGCCCAATCCCATTAGATGTAAAAGTTTAGATCTCATTTGTAGTTAAATAAATGACCCGATCTCTGCTCATTTTTTCCTTAAAAAAAGTAGAATTTTACCTTGAACCATATTCATTTTTTCCTAAAAAAAAGTAAGATATGGCTCAATTCATATTATTTTTTGCCACTAAAATGTGGGATATGAGTTTTCTGTACATAAAAACTAATGGCATATGGGTAACATGATGCTTTCAAACTAAAAAGTGATCGACCCCTTATTTTTTTCAAAAAAATTTTACATTTTCCATGAACAGATTTTTCAATCACTTTTTCACTTCACATCAAAGAGTTACAGTATATTTTTCTACAAAAATTCAAGCAAATGGTAATCCAAATGGACTCTTAATTTGGGACCAAATTTTGCTAATTTGAATTTGTAAGGAACATAAAGTTAATATTTTAAATGTGAAGAACGAAAAAATTCATTTAGCAAAAATGTAAATAACATTTTGAATTATTTTTTCACAAAATATCCTCACCGTTTGCCCTCACATTCGAGCAAATGAATTTTAATCACAATTGAAGAAGATGTGGGTTGGATGATTTTGAGGGAAGAAGTGTAAGTGAGAGATACCGAATTAGGGTCCTCTCATTTAGACTAGGAAAAAGAAAATTGATCAGAATCTTTAAAGTCATAAAATACTACTCAAAGCAAAAAAATGGAGGAGATGATGAAATTGAAAGTGAACATACCAGTGCCCTTTTCAATCCATGGTGACGCCATAATTGTGGGGACCCTAACGCCCAATCTATCAAACTTGAAAAAGAAAGGATCGGGCCCCACAATCCCATCAGGACTAGGGACCCCACTGACAGGGGTAGCCACATGATCAAAAAACCCACCATGCTCATCATACGTAATAATCAACAGAGTTCGGTTCCACTGCGGGCTGGCTCTCAGCGTCTCGTACACCCCCTTAACGAACATCTGTCCCTGATAAACATCATGTGATGGATGATCATCATTGGCCGGCTCCAACTTAGAGTCCATGTACCGCTGCTCCACCACAACATAGTTCGGCAGCTTTCCATTTTTGGCGTCATTTTTGAAGGATAAATCATAAGGGTGGAAATTACCTAAGTATTTGATTTTTCTCAGGTTACGATAAAATAAGGTGGCCGGAATATTTTGGAAGTAGATTCCGAAGGACAATCCGGCGTCGCTTAGGTTGTCGAAGATTGTCCGCTGTGGATAACCTTTGGCTAGTAGGGCGGCTATGTTT